GGTGAGGGAAGGCCAGTCGTCACCAGCACTTCTTTGTTTTTCACACCCTCTCGCACATGGCCCTGTGCTGTCCCTCAACCAACGCCAGCTCATGCCTGACCCTGTATGCACTGTCTCTTCCCCAGGACATGGTTGTATCCCCTTCCTCACCACTCCAGATGCCCCATCACACGTTCTGCAACTGCCCAGCCCTGCAGCCGAACCCCGCAGCTCCTTGGCATTCAGGTTTCTTTGCAACTCCTAACTGTAAGAACAGAAACAAAGCAGAGAACATGAGCGTATTCTGAAAATCCATGGCGTTTATTATTTTGGTGCTAAAAGACTGACAAGTCTAGGAAGTCCCTTGAAGTACAACACCAAAAGTCGGCACGGACAAAACAGGTCTCTGTTCAAAAGCTGCGCAGAAAGTTACAGCAGAAGGAGGTGCTGTGGGAGGAAATACGGGGTCTGGGAAGAGACAGTGTGGAAAACACACAGCAAAAACCAAAATACAACTAGAAAGCCAAACTGCCACGTGGTGAAGCTCACATTAGGCTTTATCTCTGCTTGCAGCTAAGGTCTCTACTCTAGGTTTTTTCTTTTGGAGGTGGTCTGTAACAACACACATGACAAGGGCTGTGGTCCTTCAGCCACGTGCTTTGGTTGTGCTGGAAAGCACGAGGCCAGCATAGAAAAAAATAAGCCACGTGTCCTCAGACCCTGGAGAAACACAGCATGAGCTGCTCCGGTTGCTTTTCAATGCATATTTGGGGTTTTTTGCCTCTAGAAAGGAGGCGAGCTTTGGTTTCAAAGGAGCAGGATGGGCAGGTGGCCCGTCTGCATTTGGGAATGTGCTTGGCACACACCTCCAGCCCACCGCCCCCTTTGCCCCAGCCACTTGTCCCACCAGCCTGGTTCAGGCATAGTGTCCCCAACACCCCACAGCCACCACACCATCCTGGGATGAGGGAGACAAGTGGTGGGCAGGGCGCAAGGGGAAAGAGCAGCTGAGAGAGTGTTTGCCTGCAACAGACAAACCGCTCGTTTTTCACCAGCGCCTCTTTTAACTTTAAAAAGAACGTATTGCCACTGGTGTAGCAATACGTGTTGGGGGAAGGGGATGTAAAGAGTGTTTGTGTGTGTGTTAGCTAGTTAGTGTGAAACTAAAATGGTCTCTAAGATGTTTGGACACAAGTAAAAGGCCCTCCCCTCTTCCCTAGTAGAAAAAACCCCAACCAAACAACTTGAGAACAACTCAAATCCCCTGAAGCCCTGTGCTGTGGCTACATCACGCTGGTGCTCTGTAAGTGCTCACCCTCATCCTGTACCGTAACCAGGTGCACCTGAGGCTGTGAACCTCTTAGGCTGTGTAAACCTTAAGGTGGAGTAAGAAAAAAAACAAAACACCACAATAAAACAAACCAAACAAAACACCCCACTCCCAAAACCAACACCAAATATCTCTGATGAGGTGCACACCCCAGCCACCCCCATT